AAGTGTTTGTGACCAACTATTTGGTCGTCTGTGACCTGTGACCAAATATTGGTGGTGTTTGGGATTGGGGGACGAGTGTTTGGGTGTATGTGACCAACTATATCGATCTGTGACCAATTATATAGTTCTATTTAACTGTGACCTTAAAATTTGTTAATCTGTAACTCAAAATATAATCTGTGACCAACTATTTTTCTTAATTTGTGACCAATTAAAAATCTGTGACCTATAATTTTTTTCAATTGTGACCTTAAAATAATATGTGACCAATTAATTTGATATCTGTGACCTTGGAATTTTTCAATTGTGACCTTAAAATAATCCGTGATCAATTAATTTGATATCTGTGACCTTGGAATCAGAGCAGTTATTGGAATTAAGCGGCGGTCAATGGTCACCGGAAAATAGTCGCCGGAATTAAGCGCAGCCGGAGAACAGTCGCTGAGGAGTGGTCGCCAGTCATCGGAGTGGTCGCCGGAGCAATGGAGGTGGAGGTGGAGTGGAGTGGGTCGGTGGGGTGGGTCAATTATATAAATATTAAATTACATTTAAATATTTAATTTAATAGATTAATTGTAAAATATAAGTAATTAATTCATGGAAAAACCCGTGTTTTGTAAATTTAAATTTTGGGGCCTGATTTTTGATTTTGTGAAAGATAATCCTTGACCTATGAATTTTTCCCTTCCAAACAAATCCCCAATTTCAAAATTGAAACCTAACAAATCGTAGAGGAGGGCGACGACCGACGATTCACGATTGGCTACCCTGCTGTTGCTGTACTGTGCCTGTACGTTGCTGCCTGTGAGTTGCACTACCACGCCTAGCCTCTCCGCCTCTCCGACCGTCCGGCGTTAGTCGCGTGACGGTGTCTCAGTCCCAGCTTCGCTGCCTTAGCCTGCTGTCACGGTGAGTTTCTCTCTTTTCTTTTCTTTTTTTTGTTCCTTGTGCTGTGTAGTTAATTTATTTGATTTATTATTTATGTTTTATAAATTATATTTATGGAATAAGAATGTGTTTGTGAATTGAGCCTCTAGACTGTAGTTTTTAGATTTTGAATATTGTGAATTTAAAACTTGGGGATTTTGTGAATTCGATAATCTAAGAATATTGGAAATTTTGTTACTGAATGTTAAAGTTTGTGATTTATGAAAATTGGGAATTTGTGAATTTGAGAATATTTAATATATGTAGATTGTGAATCTGATTTGCATTAATGATAATGAGAAATTAGATAATTTGTGAATTTGTCATTTATGAATTATGATATATGAGATTTTATGTTATATTATTGTCTAAAACTATGAGTTATGATTTATGAGTTATAATTTTGATTTGTGAATTTAGGTTTTTAGGAAATTAGGGATGAATGAAAAAATTAATGGAGAAGATGTTGGTCTCAATTAAACCATGTGTAGACTGTTTTTAATCAATTTTAATTGAAAATAAATTGGGGCATTTTGCAGATTATGGAGTGATTTTTTCAATTGAAATGAAAGTTCATACCTAGTTCTTCTTTGTCTAGTTGTGCATCTAGTCCTGCCACTAATTCTAGTCGAGTACAAGAGTTATTAAATAACACAAAAAAGTCCCGACCTCAATTCAATGTGGATGATCTTGTATCTGATCCAGAGAAATACCCCCTATCGAATCATACGCTCATAATATCAGAGATGATGTTAGGATGACATATTTGGAGAAAGATCCTTGTCAGCCATATGGACATTACTTTACAAGAAGAAGGATATTGAATGATAATAGGTGTTTTCGGAAAGAGTGGTTATCTGAATTTCATTAGTTAGAGTACATTATAGAAAATGATGCGGTGTATTGTTTGCATTGCTACTTGTTCAAACCCGATAGAAGGGGTCAAGGGGGTGGACATATATTTACTAAAACTGGCTTTAGGAATTGAAAGCACAAACAGATATTGAAAGATCATGTCGTTCTCTTTGATAGTGATCATAATCAAGCTTTTGCAAAGTGTACCAATTTGATGAATCAAAATTAGAGTGTCCCTTATTTCTAGCCAAAGTACTAGATTCCTCTTAATGCAAGGATTGACATTTCGTGATTACGATGAATCCAAAGAGTCTCTTAGTAGAGGAAATTTAATTGAGCTACTAGGCTGATATGCAACTCATTGTGATGAAGTTAAACAAGTATTGATCAGT